CATGACAGCACAAACCTATAGGAATAGGCATTCCTTTGTATACCATGGGTGTTTGTAGAAAGAGATCAAGGAAAAATGACCTATTGGCTGTGAACCTGTTTTCAGTATCTGGTTTCTGTGACTGATAATCTAAAAGCATCTATTGATAGACTATCACTAATAATAGAAAACACCTGCCCCATATTAATTACAAGTCATTCCTTTTGGGGCATTTGGACTAGGTCAGCTAAGAGTAAAAGCAAAGTGGATGATTAAGCACATTTTCCTGCTTATTAATTTAACACAAAGCACTAGGGTCAGCTAAAGTTTACCTTAGGTTCATCTAAAAAACAAAGAATAATAAACAAAACACAGTGGGGCCGGCTCTCTTATAAAGAATCAAAGGGTTATGGTAGTTCGGTTCATAACACTTCACTCTTTCACTGGGATGGGTTGCATCTACTGGGTCAGAGGATATTTCTCTTACTCAAAAATCTCCGTATTTTGAAATAGCCAGCGAGAGAAATCATAGACTGGGTTTTTATGTGACAAATTTCACCTACCAGCCATTGTGAAACATGATCGGGAACACCACTCCATTGTAACACGGTTGCTCTTCGCTCCGGGCAAACAGATTTTCTTTTTTAAAGTTTGAAAACTGGTAGGAGGAAGGCTCACATTGCTAACAAGATGAAGGGAGCAACAATGCACTCTGTGGACTGTGACAGAATCAGCTTTCCCTTTTTAAAGTTAATACTCAAATACAGGTATGTAAATAAATCAATTATTTTCTTTCCTACCACTCTGAACTGCGTGCATGGCTTCACCCTTATGAAGATGACTGGTCGGGGGGGGGGGGGGGGATGGCGGCGGGTGGCAGAGAAATGTACAACCCTTATTTACGACGATGGACTGCCCACCTACAATTACTGATCGGCACTTTGTAAACACCCTCAGTGTTGATTAAATTATGAAAGGCACCCGACTCCCAGAGCCATAAAACATATTTACTGTCTGTAAGCATCCTGTAAGTCGAGCGGAATGAACTAATCCCATGGGATCCAGGATAGGGATGACTAAAGGAAGAATTGCCATGTGGGGAACTTCACATATCAGATGAATTTGTTCAGGTCCCTGAGACCTAGAATCTGACCCAAGCCACCTTTCTTTTTTGATAAGAGGAAATAAGGAGAATAAAAATCTTTTCCAATATATCCCTGAAATTTTCACTCTTTCTTTCTCTAAGTTTGATCAGCTTGCCTATCTCCTGATGCCTGGCTCTCTCATGAGAGTGGTTCCTGAAAAGGCACCATGAAGGGGAGTAGCAAGGAGGCAGGGATTGAAACTGACCCGCAGAATCAGCCCTGGTTACTTGAAGGATCCATTGATCTGTGGTGATTGCCACTCAAGTCTCCAGGAAATAAGATAGATGGGAATCCAAGGGTGGAGTAAAGGGTATACAACACCTTTGTAGACTAGTCCAAGTCAAATTTGATGTCATTGTGTCTGATCCAACTGATTGCTTACAGAAGAGGTAGTGAAGCTGTCTTCTTTCTCCTTGTACAAATTGTTTAGGAGGTCTCTGCTACTGAGAATCTGAATCAGGATATTGAATGTTCTCATAGCTGAGGAATGAAGATGGATGACAAAACTTTCTTTCTGAAACAAGGGGTGCATAACAAACCCAATGATCTGAGTGTGGATCTCAAGTCTTTTAATGAATGTAGAGTCATCAGCCTTGACACAGGACAGATTCCAACCACTGAATGACAAATATTCTATAATCACTTGCATCTCTTTTGGTAAACCTGACAGTTAAGTATGATGAATATTGCATCAGAATACATGTAGTCACTAAGCCCTGATCTACACTGCAGATTTAGGCTGATGTAAGGCAGCTTACATAGACCTAACTTTGTAAGTATGCGCTAAAATGCAGCTCCCACCAACATAACTTGCCTGCTATACCAACTTAACTCCACCTCATGAAAGGCATGGTTCTTAAGCCAATGTAGTTAGGTTAATGCAGTGTCAATGTAGATAATGTGCTGCCTGCATTGATTGTTGCTGCCTGTCAGAAGTCATCCCATATGCCGCACACTAACAGTTAAAATGGTGCAAGCATTCTGTGTGAGGATGCTCACTGCTGACAAAAGGAGCGTAGTGCGGGCATGAAAAAGCAGTCTAATTTCTGTGGTGCTGTACGCTAATGTAACTTAGGTTGTAATTTTGTGCAGGTTGGATCTCTCTGTTTCAGCATCCTTGGGACCTGGCTGATCCCAAAGGAGGGAGTTTGCCAGGCCAGAGGTCAGCCTGTCTGCTGATGGTCACCAGGCTCCCCTGGGGTCTGTCAGCAGATTGCTGGGCTCCCCTGCTCCCGGCTCCACAACCAGCCCCGGTAGCTCTGCAGGCTGTCCCAGGGCCACTGGGGCTCCACAGCCTGCCCTGGGACCACCATGGCTCCACTGCTCCAGGGCCACTGGGACTCCACAGCCAGCCCCAGGGTGTCTGGGCTCTACAGCCCTGGGTCCACCGGAGCTCCGCAACTAGCATGACCATGGATGTTGCCAGACCAGATAGTTCCAGACCAGAGAGGTTCAATCTGTAGTTGAAACTTGCCCTGAATGAACATTCAAATCAACCTCATGTAATACAGCTAGAAAAGAGGTTTCAGCAGTTAGCTGCCCTTCACAAATAGCTTAAACTGACCTCTAGATTCTGAAGATAACTTGTCCTTAACACACACACTCTATCCTGCTGCAGAAAATAATATTGTGCTATGCTTACCTGTAAAACTCAAGAAGAGTAAATTTTGTTCCCAAACAAATCCATTGTCTTGGGGTTTCTCCTTGAGGGTAGATTTTCCATACTCCTTTGATCATTCATTTGCTGCAGCAACAGCTAGAGATGATGGACCCAGATGAGCATCAAAATATACAAATCTTTTAGATGGCACCAGATATCTATGATCTGTGCATTTTGCAGTAGCTAAAATGGAAGCTGATTGATCGGAAACAGATCTTTGGCTGAGTCCAGCATCCCTTCATTAACTGGTAATGCGACCCAGCTTCAGGATGCTACCTGTAGAATGTCCAAGTGTTTATATGCTTTTTCCTAAACTATTTCCAAAGGAACTTCTAATAGTTTTTCCAGACACTTTAATAATTTCTAAAAGGTGTTAAAGTCATCAGCTGAACTCTGTGAAATGGAAAAGAAGAAGAATGAAGTAAAGGATCAAAAGGATTGTCTCGATGGGCTGCTATTTCACCATCACTTCAAATGTGTTGTTCCTTGCATTTGACATGTAGAGTGATCAAAATTAGAAGAGATTACAGCAGATGACTCAGACACAAATCCTGTATATTGTGGGAGAACTTGTACTTTAAATTGTGGTTATTGAAGCCATGAGGGCTGATGTGACCATGTCTGTGGACATTAGAAGAAAGAGTTTGGAGGAAACCAAGCAGCAAAGTTAGAATTATTATCTTCAGGACTTTTAGGCATGTAGAGTGATCAAAATTAGAAGAGATTACAGCAGATGACTCAGACACAAATCCTGTATATTGTGGGAGAACTTGTACTTTAAATTGTGGTTATTGAAGCCATGAGGGCTGATGTGACCATGTCTGTGGACATTAGAAGAAAGAGTTTGGAGGAAACCAAGCAGCAAAGTTAGAATTATTATCTTCAGGACTTTTAGGAGGTCTTTTTTTTCCCCAATCCAACCCCCCCCCCCCTTTTTTTTTTTTGCAGAGGACCTTCTGCCAGAGTCTGTAGAGGAATCAGACTTTGGAGGAAGAAACCTCTAATGCAGAGTCATGACAGGAGACTGAATGATTTGAGTGGTACTAAAATCCTTAATTTGACATGTGGTTCAAAGACATTATCATTACAGGTTCCCTGACTTCTTTTTTAACTGAGGATTTGTCTGGCATGTAGATCAGGGAATCCTCCAGGACTGGTTATTGAGGTTCTGGAGTGAACCTGAACAATGGTGAAGGTAAAAAGAAGCTTTTGGAACTAAAAATGTAATTGTAAAAGGTCCCTGTAAGGAGGCTGCTGTAGGTGGCTCTCTTCTTTGAAGCTTCCTCTATAGATGAAACTGCTGGTGCCAACAACGGAAGGTCTGCAGAAGACTGCCCTGAGCACTCTGATCCTGAGTGAGGCAGTGCTGCAAAAGAGGATGAAGGCAGGTGATTCTTCTTTCCCTGAGGTCCCTCAGCTGAAGCAGGAAGTTTCTGTATCAAGTCTCTGCTGCGGTGCAGCATGCCAGGTCCTAGTCCCTCTTTTTCCCACACCAGAAAGAGCTCACCTGCACTAACAGCTCTGCACTCCCCAGCACAAATGGCTCCTTTGAAGACTTCTTTCTTTGTGGATTTTAATTTAATTTTCTCAGCATGAGTCATACAACAAATGAACCGAGTACATGAAAATGAAAAAATGAACCCTCACACAACAGAAGCAATGCCAGCACTCTCACACATGGTGCCTCCATCTGGGTCACAGACAGGACATAGCGGACGTGCCTAGTGGTTGGAGCAGGACTAGATAGTCATGAATTGGAGCTCTGAGTTAGAGCTGGAGTCAGAGGCTAAGAACTGAAACTAAGGGTCAGAACCAGAGTCAAAAGTCAAATGCCAGACTAGAAAAAAGCCAGGAACTGAAGCCAAGTTCAAAATCTGTACTTAAAGCAAAGCAAGACTGAGGTGAAGACTGGAGCAGAGCTGGAACAAGGAAGAAGCAAGACTGGGAACAAACAGGTACAGGAGCTACCACAGCTGCGGGTGAATGCTCTGAGTAGCTGCTACCCATCTGCTGGCTCTTCCCATTGCTCTGGCAGTATAAACAGTCAGGCAGCTACTATAGGCTGGCTGCACTTGTTAGGTTGCCCACAGACTGGCTCTGCTTCAGTCTCCAATTCCTGACAATCTGTACCATCACACGTCACAAGGACAAGGACCAGTCCCATACAAAGTGCTGAACACCTCTCGTGCTATTTAAATATCCCAAATGCACAAATCTGCATTTTCCAGTGCAGTAATTTGCATATCTTGTTTATTTTCAATTAGCCATTACCAATTTCCACTGTTGTATATTAATTTCCCTTCTGTCAGCCTCTTGTCACAAACAGCAGTGGGAAGGTGTGATAAAAGTAACAATGGATCAAGCAATATCAGGATACATTAGCACATTTTACACCTTTCATTAGATCCAACTTTAATTAAACAAACAATTAAGTTTCTAGCCAAGTGTTATTACACCCACCTGTGAGAATGTGATCTCACTTAAAGAGTGTTGCTTCAGTGGGAGTGTAAAGTCAACAGCTCTGGAGAAAACAACAGAGGAAAGGAAACCATGGATCCCAAGAACAAATTCCTCAGGACTCTGCATTCAGGATGATTTCCAGTGCTTCAAGAACCCTACCATCAGCACCATTAGAGTGATTATCCTAGGAGTTTGGCCTAACAAATCTGATGGTTGCTGAAATGCAGGGACAGAACCAACAAGCCAGGAGCCATACATGATGCATCCTTCCCAAATTCCACTGATACCAAGATCTGACTGGATCCAAAGGCATAATTCTCTATTGGAGCCCTTTCTGTCTGTGCTAAATAACAAAGGAAAGCCAACAGAAAGCCATGGAATATTCCTTCTCTGTCTCCATGCCAGAAGATCAGACTCTGGGGTCTTTGGCTTCATTTGGACTCACAATTTCAAAGGGGAAAGCAATTTCAGGACTGTTGTCTGACTAAAGAATCTGATCATTATAAGTAATGATGTAATACCAGATAAAACAATTCTGTCAAATGTATTGCTACATAGTACTTAAGCAAATAATATACGTATTCCAAGCACCTTCCCCATGTCTCAAAAGTGGCTTCATGTTGCAGTTAATTCTCCTTAATATTCACAGTGGAATGTTTGCATGCTTCTTCCAGGGATTGGATAGTGTTTTGCTTGCCAGAACTTCCAGATCACGGCAAATGCGGATTCGAGTAGTAGAAGGTTCAATGATATCATCAACAAATCCTGTTCAATTTACCAAAAACAAATTACACACATACACACTTTTGCCTCCCAACCACAATATATCTAAATGTAATTACTTTGCATCATCAAAACTATGCAGTCACTTAACAATTCATGTATTAGAGAACTGATTGTAATTGTAAAATTAGAAATTAATTCGCAAGAGAAGCATTTGAGTTAAACTGTAGTTAAAATTTACAATGTGTTTCAATAACTTATAAAGCCTTCAATAAACTTTATCAAACAAGCAGACATTAGAAAGCCAAGAAATTTAGATTTACAGTGGGGCTCAACTGTAAATATCATAGGGCAGTTCTATATGTACAGTCTCCTACAGTTCAAATTAAGTCAGTTCAATTTACAAACGTCAAGATATATTTTCTGTCAATTCTGCAAATTCCACTTGGAATCTGATAGTAAAATTCTGTTTATTTTCTGGCTCAAGCCCTAACAATATGCATGGCAGTGAAAACATATAGCACGTCTATTGATAAACCACTGCCCAGAAAACAATTAATCTTGCTGTGCAGAGTTACCATATTTGAACTTTCAAAAAGGAGGACACTCTGGAGAAGAAGTGTATCTGTATCATTATCTACCAAATCATGTTGTATTAATGTATTATATACTATTCATTATGTGCATGCTATTAGGCTGTATGTACTCCTGATAAGATGACAACGTGGTACAAATGAATATACTGATCAACAGAGTAGGCAGATGATGGCTTCGACTGAGAAACGGGACTGCCACCTGGGAGAAGTAGTGTCTGGTGGGGAAACTGAAGTTGAGGCCAAAGTCTGGTTTCTCCTAAAGTTGACCAGCATACCTCATTGAACTCCACCCCAACTGCTGGAGCACTCTAAAATACTGTGGAAATTGTACAGGTTTTGAAATGTTTCTTACATTTAGAACATTTTTAATATGCTTATCAGCACCTCAGACATGGCCCTGTGTCTTACATCTAACCAATACCTCAAAAAAATTGTGTTAGAAGCCCTTCAGATTGTTTTGTGGCTGGAATTGGGCAAAAAAAGTGTTTTAATAATTTTCAAACCATGATTAGTGCCACTTTTATTTCTGTATCCCTTATCTTTACAATGCCTTGTGTGAATAACTGAATATTTGATCAAAGTGTTAGCTTGTGTCCACAGACCACACAAGTGAAATGTGACTTTCAAAGGACTTCAACCAAGGAATTTAAGAAAGGAACTCAAAGAACAAAGTCTCAGGTACCTCTCACAGCTGCAGGAAAGGGATTTGCAAACTTATTCACATATTCTGCCTCGGCATCTGTCTCTTTTCCTCTGAAAATGATCTGGACAGCACCCTAGAAAGACATACAAACATGCCCTGAAACTGGGCTGCAATAATTAATCCATCATGAAAAAGGCTCTTTTTTAAGGCACAGGATTTAATACCTGAAAGCACCACAGGAAAAACTAGCAAGTTACATGAGAGAAAAATCATAGCTGTCTTCATCCCAGCAAGCTTCTTGAGTGATTCTTCAGAGATAGCTATGGCTGCTAGAAGTTAGAAGTGAAACAGCCCCCATTTACCTTTGCACCCATTACTGCAACCTCTGCTGTAGGCCACGCATAATTAACATCTCCTCGTAAATGCTTCGAACTCATCACATCATACGCACCCCCATAAGCCTGGAAGAGACAGAAAGTCATTGATATCCAACAAGTGCACCAACAGCAACACATTAAATCCCTTCTGCAAGTATTGCCATTCCAGAGACAAGGATGCACTGACAAGAGCCCACGTTGATCCATTTTGACAGCAACTGCTCAGCATTTTGCTGCAAACTTCACAGGAAGGCTGTGCCAAAGCTGACCTCTATCTAACAAAAGCACTAAAGTAAATTGGAACAACAGAGGTGGCTAAACTCAATGACATGAACATTAACTTCTTTTAGTATATGCTTTTTATAAACGTGTCTATCACAAAAGCCTTTCCCTTCCTTGTCATGAAAGGGTTAATGTATTGAAAGTACAGTAGTGCCATAATACATACCTGCTGATCTCGACTCAAAGATATTCTGAAAATGACTTTCTGAAAATGACATGGGAATGGTACTTCTGAGCAAAACTGTACCAGAAGAAGAAAAGAAAACTGAACCTGTTTAGAATTCAGTTGATACTAGCCTCATCTTTATGGTTCTATCAAAGAGTCACTTAGAGCAGAATCAAGACCTTCAATTTTAGCATCTTTATTATTATATTACTGCTATCACCAATGTAATCAATGCTGAATATAAAAAGGAGACACCAAACGTTATCATCTTAAGAGTTCTGAAATTTATCTGAAACTAATGTGCTGCCAAGCCACAAAACTGAATTTGCAGCAACTAAGAAGAGCATATAATTTGCAGGAACTAATAAGAACATAAGAATGGCCACACTAGATCAGATCAATGGTCCATATAGCCTAGCATCCCACTTCAAGCAGCAATCAATGCTAGGTGTTTCCGAGAGAATGAACAGAACAGATAAACAAGTGGATCCATCCTGTCATCTACTCCCAGCTGCTTGCAAACAGAGACTGGGGACACCCAGACCATGGGATACATTCTGACCAGTTGATAATAGTACTTAATGGACTTACCTTCCATGAACTAACCTCATGCTTTTTTGAACCCAGCTATATTTTTGGCTTTCACAACATCCCCTAGAGTTTCACATGTCGATCGTGCACTGTGTGAAAAAGTACTTTATTTTGTTTGATTTAAATCTGCTGCCTATTAATTTCATTGGGTGACCCCTGCTTCTTGTGTTATGTGAAGAGGTAAATAACACTTCCATATTCACTTTCTTCACAGCATTCGTGATTTTATAGACATTTATCGTATCACCCCTTAGTCATCTCCTTTTCCAAACAGAAAAGTAATAGACTTTTTAATCTCTTCTCATATGGAAACTATTCCATACCTTTAATCATTTTTGCTACCCTTCTTTATATCTTTTCCATTTTATCTACATGTCTGATAATTCTGTTCTTTACTATAGTTTCAGCCAACTTGCATGATACTGAAATCAGGCTTACTGGCCTGCAATTGCTAGGATTACCTCTGGCACCTTTTAAAAAAAACTGGTTTCACATTAGCTATCCTTACTATCATCTCGTATAGATGCTGATTTAAATGATAGGTTACAAACCACACGAGGAAGTTACTAACCTTGTTCAGTAACGACGGTTCTTTGAGGTGTCCCCCCTGTGCGAGGAAGTTACTAACCTTGTTCAGTAACGATGGTTCTTTGAGGTGTCCCCCCCGTGGGGTGCTCCACTTTAGGCGTTGGGCTCATCCCAGTGCCGCAAGTCAGAGACTCATCAGCCATGGTTCAGCCGGACCGCGCATGTGTGGCAGCATCACGTGCCCTTCGCACCTTTTGTGAGTCTGCGTGTGGTCTGGCTCCCACCAATTCCTCCTAATCGAGTCACTCCTGAAAGACATAAAGAAGAGGCTCCGAAGCGAGGCGGAGGGCAGGTTGTGGAGCACCCCTGGGGGGACACACCTCGAAGAACTGTTGTTACTGCACAAGGTGAGTAACTACTACTACTACTTCGGGTAGTGTCCCTGGGGGTGCTCCACTCTAGGTGAGTACAGAGCAGTAACCTGGTCTACGGAGGTGGGATCGGAATTATGATGTTTGTGCTATGGAGAGCACTGTGGAGGCCAGTGGTGCGTCACGAACAAGAACGTCGATAGCATAATGTTTTGCAAATGTTATGTCCGAGGACTAGGTTGTCACACGGTGGAAGATAGCATAATGTTTTGCAAATGTTATGTCCGAGGACCAGGTTGTCACACGGTGGATATCCTGTAATGGGACTCCTTTGAGGAAGGCCGTTGACGTGGCCATCGCTCTAGTGAAGTGAGCTTTCTTTGAGGTTGGTATGGGCTTATTGCTTAATGAGTAGCATCGTGCGATGCATTTCACATTTAGTTTAGAAATAAGCTGCAACATTAAAGGTTGGCCTTTAGTTCGTTCGTCCGTCCATACATAGCAACAGCCATTGTGACTATTGGAAGGGACGTGTTCTCTCAAGGTAGAAAGCCAACACTCTACGCACGTCCAAGGTATGTAGTCAGGCTTCATGGCAAGAGGCATGTGGTTTGGATAAAAGGTTGGAGTACAGGAGCTGCCAAGAAAGCTCTCCACTGTCAGCAGAGCCGTGGCTACACTTTACTTTCACTTTCGACACTGAGGTTGATCGGCACAGCATCAAAACATGAGTATGCAAATGAAGACCGATACATTTAAATCCCGGGCTCATTTGTACTTCCAAAGGGCTTGATTTGCATCTCTCTGTCAGCAGAGGGATGCAGTCTAGACACAGCCCATGTCAGGGAGTGTTGCACTAGTGCACTGTGAACGTCCTGGTTGCCTGGGCAATATATTGATGCTATCCAATGTTGGAGGCATCTGAGATGCAGCCTCGTGTGTTGCACCACGTAAGTTGTGGCTGACATATGCCCCATGAGTTGCAAGCAGGTAAGTATGGGGACTTTGGGGCTGATGGAAAGAATGTTCACGAGGCTTTGTATTTTGTGGAATCTGTCCAGAGGAAGATGGGCCCTTGCTGTTGTAGAATCTAATCATGCCCCGATGAACTCAAGAGACCTTTGCAGTGTGAAGGAGGATTTCGGGACACTGCTCACGAGGCCCAGAGCTGTGAATAACTTTCTCGTGATCTCGGTGGCCCGTAGTGCATGATCGTAAGTAGGTGCCTTGATTAAGCGATCATCCAGGTATAGAAATATCATGATTATCTTGGCGGTGGAGATACATGGCGACTACCGATAGTGTCTTCGAGAAGACTCTGGGCACCGACGATAGGCTGAATGGAAGGACTCTGTATTGAAAGATTTGCCTGTGACAAATCTGAGGAAGTGTCTGTGTGCTGGATGTATCGTCAACATGGAAATAAGCATCCTGCAAGTCAAGGGACATAAACCAATCTCCAGTGTTGAGCGCTGGAATGATAGAAGCTAATGTCACCATCTTGTAGGTATCGATTGAGCTGTCAAAGGTCCAGGATAGGCCTCCATCCCCCTAATTTTCTCTCGGTGAGAAAGTAATGAGAATAAAATCCGTTGCCCTGAAATTGTTCAGGCACTCTCTCCATGGCCTCAATACGTGTAAGGTGTAAAGCCTCCTGCATTAGGAGGGCCTCGTGAGATGGGTCCCTGAAGAGGGACAGGGATGGGGGAGAAGTAGGGGGAAGAGAAAGAAGTGGTATCGTCTAGCCGGACGTTATTAGCTCTTGGACCCAATGGTCGGTGGTGATAGCAAACCACCTGTGTTGGTACGGTCGTAGACGATGGTGAAACAGCTTCTGTGATTCCGGGTGACATTTCAGGGGAATAGTCTACAGTCCCTTGACCAGACCATAAAACTGGCAGCCTGTTATTGAGGGTTGGGCGTCCTACCCATCTGAGGACGATGTTTCTGTTGGCATGGTTTCCCCTGCTGTTGTGGTTCATACTCCCTGTATCTGGGTATGGAGTATGAAAAAGGCCTTTGCTTATAATACAGTGTGTAAAGTTTGTGGTGGTACGGTGGCATGTACATGCTGAGAGTCCTCAGAGTCGTCCTCGAATCCTTGCCTCAGTCTTTTCGGCAAACAGACTCTGCCTGTCAAACAGCTAACCCTCTACCTTTGCTTGTAGTTCCTTGGGCACCGAAGCCATCTGGAGCCAAGAAGATCTTCGCATTACCACAGATGTTGCTGTGGTATGAGTCGCTGTGTCTGCGATGTCGACGGAAATTTGTAAGGCAGTATAGCTCTCCTAGACTACTGATTTTAATATCTGATGCTTGTCCTCAGGTAAGTGTTCTAGGAGTGTCACTAACTTTGTGTAATTATCAAAGTTATTATTGGAGAGGAGGGCAGCATAATTCGCCATTCTCAGGGTTAGCGTGGCGGACAAATAAACTTTCCTTCTGAAGAGGTCTAAATGTTTAGCCTATCGGAGGCGACATTTTTGTATTGCGGGGTCTTGGCTCTTTGTTGAACAGCATCAACAACAAACGAATTAGGTTGCGGGTGCGTGAATAAGAATTCCATCCCTTTAGAGGGAACAAAATACTTTTTGTCCTCCTTCTTATGTGTGGCGTGGTAGCAAGCTGGTGTCTGGCAAATTTTGTTTGCAATTTCCAAGATTGCATTGTCTAACTGTAACGCCTATCTAGACTTTTGCAATGGTTGCAGATTCTTCAGGAGATGGTGTTGCTTCTGTTGTACTTCACCTAGCTGCATTTCTTGTGTCTCCGCCACTCTCTTACACAGGTCATGGAATTGCCAAATATCATCTGTGTGGGAAGAATCACCAGGAAAGACCGCATTGTCCGGAGAGGAAGAAGACTGATCAGTCGGGGACTTCACCTGGAATTGGGTGCATTCCGACGTCGGTATCTCTTCTGCCTCTGGTTGTTGTACTGGAACAGGTGCCTCTCCTGAGGGAGTAGGTGATCGAGGAGGTGTTGGTAATCTGACACTGCTATGTGAACGCCACTGATGGTAATGAGGGGATGTAGAACAAGAGTGGTCTAACAAATAGCGGTGTCAATGGTGGTAGTCACGATGTCGATGATATCAGTGGCAGTAATACCTCCTTGGGGAATACTCAAGTGAGTACCTTCTTCGAGTCACTTGACAATATCTGGAACACGATGATCGTGTGGGTCATCTAGGTGAGTGAGATCTATTCCTCGTGTACGTTGGGGAGTGTGAGTGCCTGCAGTATCGCTGTGGTGATGGTGAATATCATGGTGAGTGCCTGTGTTGCTGGCTAGTTAATGTGGCGCAGCTCTCATGCAGTGATGGCATCGAGAAACCGGAGGCTGGCGAATGAGGCTGTGGAGAGAAGACAGCCAGTTCCGGGCTAGGAGAGGGTGTAATTATCCTCCTAGACTTATGCTTGGCTTTCCCCGGTGCTGGAGAAGGTTATCTACGGTGCTCTGGTACATCTTGTACCGGTGCCAAAGATGCAGGTGAAAGCAGCACTGTTGTTTGCGGTGCTGGTGTATCGAGTGAGCTCGGTGCCGTTGGTCTCGGTGCTGCAATGGTGATTGGTGCCGAGCTTGCTGTCGATGAGGCACTCGGTGACGGTGCCATGGGTGATACCGGAGTGCTCAGTACTGCCGGACTCCATGTTGGTTTTATTGCTGGTGTCAGCACCGGTGCTGTGGTCGGTTCTGATGCCTGTTGTGATGCCGGTGCTGCCCTGATTGGTGCCGCTGTCTTCTGCTTTGTCGGCGCTGGTGCTGAGTCAGCTCTTGGAATTGTGGCCAGTGCCAGTACCAATTCCCTATGTAGGGTCGGACTCTGCTCTGATATGCTGTGTCTTGTCTTATGCCTTTGAGCATGACAGCCAACGGCCGATCCGGATGTCTCCGGCTTATCACCCGCACTTCTCTGAGCCGAGGATGAGTGTCGGGGAGATGACTTTTTGCCTGTTGGTGTTCCTGGGGACGCTGGAGATCTGGACCACTCGCTCTCAGTGGACTGCAACGCCTTATTGAATAAGAGCATTTTCAATCACATCTCACAATCACACCTGGCCTGAGCCACCAGCTTGGAACAGTGCGGGCATTTCTGAGGGATATGACCCTTGCCCAAGCACTTAATGTAGGTTGAGTGCCCGTCCGATACTACCATTGCATTACGGCATGTTGTGCATTTTTTGAAACTGGGGGACCCCGGCATTTCGAGTGATTTAAAGTAAGAACCAAAACTTTGAAGATAAAATGACACTATATATATACACACACACACACACACACACACACACACAAAGTAACGAAGGATATATAATTTCTTTTAAAATGACGAACTCTGAGAATAAAACTATATAACTGCTGACAAACTATAACTAACAACTAAGTATTTATAAATTTTACAGATTTTTTTTCAGTCAGACTGAGGAGAAGGGGTTCGCTCCGCCTGCGACCGTGAACGGTTAGGAGGAACTGGCGGGAGCCGGACCGCGTGCAGACTCACAAACGGCGCAAAGGGCACGCGACGCTGCCACGCATGCATGATCTGACTGAACCGTGGCTGATGAGTCTCCGACCTACGGTGCCGGGACGAGCCTGACACCTATAGTGGAGCACCCTCGGGGACAGTAGTTCTGCAATTTCATATCTGAATTCCTTCAGAACACTTAGAGGAATACTATGTAGTCCTGGTGGCTTATTACTATTTAACATATCAATTTGTTTCCTTTATTGAAAGAATGGCTAAAGTTTGGGAATCTCCCTCATACCCTATCCAGTGAAAAGCGATGCAAAGAATTTATTTAGCATCTCCAGAATGGCCCTATCTTCCTTGAGTGCTCCTTGAGCACCTCTATCATCCACTCATCCCACTGATTATTTGGTGGGCTTCCTGGTTCCTATATACTTTTTTGAGGCAGTCCTTTTTGGCAACTCTTCTGCTTCATCATGGGTTAGTAGCTGTCCTTGTGAAATGTACTTTTTCTCCCCAGGTGCTCAAAGTTGTTTTTTTCTCCTGTAAACTCATTCTCACAGACCTGTTAAGAGTAGACCTGAGTGGTTTAGATCTCATGATTCAAGAGCCAGTTGGACACAGAATCTGCACAATGCTGCAAAGAAGTGATCTGAGAGATCAATCATCTTCTTACGTTTTTCTTGATCTGTCTTTTTTGAAGGAACTTCCCTCATCTTCTTACGTTTTTCTTGATCTGTCTTCTTTGAAGGAACTTCCCTTCAGATGATAGCAGAACAAACAGTACTTCCATGGCCTCTTGGTATTCCTGCAGCCAATTATTCAGATTGTGCATTGGGTGCTGGACTTAAGAGGTCTCAGTCTTGCAATGCAATTTCCACAGGGTCAGCAGCTAACGCAGGGGTGGGCAAGAGGCTGCCTGTGGGCCGGATCTGGCACGCAGCTGCCTCAACAGAATCCCTGAGGCAGAGAACAGCTCAAACTTCAATTGTTCTCCATTTCAGACGGCTGGGGAAGGAGGAGGGAGACTTCTCATGCTGTCCCTCCCTACCCCCCAGGCAAAATCTCTTATCTCCCATTGGCCAATCTCTTAGTTTCTAGCCAATAGGAGCTGAGAATTTTTGCTGGGAGAAGGGACAATGTAGGAAGCCATTTCCCTTCCTCCTCAACTCCTCCTCCTCATGCCTGGAGCGCAGCCACATGGAGCAGCCTGCAGCAATCTGCCTAAGATTTCTCCTGGTAAGCACCTCCCAGCCAGAGCCTGCTTCTGGCACCCCAGCTCCTCTCGCACCCCAACCCTCTGCCCCACCTCCACATACCCAAACCCTCTGCTCCCTCCTGCACCCATATTTCCTCCCAGATCTGGCACCCCAATCCCATGCCCCAGATCACAATTTCCTCCCACCCTAGGTCACATCCCAAAATCCTGCACCCCAGTCCCCTGCCCTAGGTCACAACTGCTTCCTTCACCCAAACTCCCTCACAGACCTCATTCACCCTCCTGCACCCCAATCCGTTCCTCCCAGCTCCCTTCTGCACCCAACCTCCATTCCAGACCCTGGAATTCCTCCATTAATATCCTGGAAGAGTGCGGCCCTTGACCACTTTCCAAAATCTTGGTGTCGCCCCGTCAAAAATTACTGCGCACCCTTCAGCTAAAGCTATTCCTTATTCTAAAAGTAAATGTTGCACAGGCAAAAGAGGCTCCTATGTAACAGTGTCAGTGCATGAGAAATAACTCATTTTTACTCCATGAGGCCCACAATTTGAAGACTGGCCCTTTCACTTCGTCTGCTATTACAAATAATCAGGAGCCAGTCAACCAAACTTTTTTTTAACTACTAATGGTGAACTACAAGAAACATACACCAAGTTTCTTTTAAAAAGCACAACTGCACAAGAAAAAGGAAAGGTTGGGGTCCCAAGACCACTTGTGATGGCACACACACAGAGGGAACAGTTGTGATTTTTAACACTTCACACTCTCTCATAGTTGTGCAGCTCTGAACATTCTGGGACACTTCAGTCAGGGCATGCATCTCCCAAAATGAGTATCTGAAGAGGAAAAAGGAGCAGGATCTCAGCGATACGGACAGAGAATAGGGAGAGATTAACAGGAAGCAGCAGCAGCAGGAAAGTATTATGCGAAAGGGTAGAGTCAAAATGATACCAAGGTGGCACACTTAGAAGAAAGAGGATTTTTTATAACAATAGAGAACACAGGGAGAAATGGAGAAAACTAAAAAGTTCAGTTTTTGCCATGCTGCAACAGAAGAGTCTGTCTAATAAGTAGTAGAGAACACAGGGAGAAATGGAGAAAACTAAAAAGTACAGTTTTTGCCATGCTGCGACAGAAGAGTCTCTCTAATAAGTAGCTGAAGAGGTGAGGCTGAACACAGAAAGAAAGAAGAGCAAGAAAATGGTACCTTAATCCACGAGAGACAGTAAGGTATGGAGACTTTGCATTTACAAAGCTCCTATCAGTGCAGTGTCTAACAGAAAGAATACATGGCTAGGAATAGAAGGGAGAAGAAAAGGGCACCGAGGACAGAGCTCTGAGGGACAATGATGAAGTTCAAGGCCTAGGGGTGATGACAGAGCAGCAGAGAAGGAAAGCGGAGAACACAGACTCACCACAGCTCCAGGTCTCAACTGTTTAAAGCGACAAAAAGATCAGAGTATGGTAAGCCTGGATCTGGCCAGAGTTAGGTCATTTATGACCTTAGTGAGAGAAGTTTAGTGACATGGAGGAGACACAGGCTTGTCTGCAAGAGATCCAAGAGAGGAAATGAAGGTGAGAATGATAGAATACTGAAGAAGCTTAGTGTCAAAGGGCATGGAGGGGTTGTAGCAATATTCTGACAAGCAAGTAGAAACAAAAGCTGCATGAAAATTGAAAAAAGAACCATTATGAGAGAAGAAGCAAGAGAGAACAGGATTCCAGAAGAAAGTTGTCTATGAATAACATTCCTTCTAGCAGAACAAGAGTACTTGTGAACTCCAAGAAATGATTCCACCTTACCTTTCTGGTGATAATAGTAATTTTGGGCACAGTTGCTTCTGCAAAGGCAAACAGTAGTTTTGCACCATGACGTATGATTCCACCATACTCCTGAGCTGTGCCTAAAAATTATGAGAACCAAAAAACCACTTTAGCAAAGTTATAAAAAAAAAAAATCATTCACCTGTGAAGGGGTCTCCAGATGCTGCCAGCAGGTCAGCTAACACCACCAGCTATGTTTACTGGACAGCAATGTTCTCCACAGCTCCATACTGGACAATAGGGTGAGGAAAGCTCAGATGGAGAACTGCAATGAATATATACTACAGGGAACAGCAGCTATATGGCATTGAGATACCATACAAATATTGTTAAAAGAGTCCCATTTGAAGGCAAATTTTGATTCAGCTCTACAGGGAACAGCAGCTATATGGCATTGCGATACCATACAAATACTGTCAAAAGAGTCCCATTTGGAGGCAAATTTTGATTCAGCTGAGAATAGCACAAGACCCCAAACTATCTACTAATTTCACTTTTTTGGAACCATACGACTCTGAGAAGGGTATGGTTTTTCAGTTTAGCTTCAAGGACAGTTCAAAGCCATCATTCAGAGTCAGCAGCAGGTGAGTTACAGTGAAAACGATCTATAAAAATCTGTTCCCTAACTACACACCTTCCCACATAAAGTTAATGGAGGATTTGCTGCCATACCCTTTCTTAGAAATGAGATTAATAGGCAAGCAAAGAATTTCCCTCCATCACTCTGAAGTCCTGGGCTCCCCGGAAGTTTGAGGAATCAATCCTGTGGTTCTAATGATGGAAATACAGCTGCAAGAGACACCATCCTGAATGCCTGAGACTTGGCAAAGTTGTTTAGAACTTTTACATTTAAGATCAATCTCCACCCTCCATTCTTTTTTTGGGACCAGGAAGTAGTTGGAATAAAATCTTTTCCCTCTGCGCTTAATAGAAAATAGATCCACAGCTCCCATTCACAGAAGCAAATCAACCTTTTGCTTTAACAAGTGCTTATGAGAGGGGTCCCAGAAGAGAAACAAGATGGGGGGTGGTATACTGGAGAAAAATGAAATGGATACTGTACCCAGGTCTTATAATCTCCAGCACCCATTTGTCCAATGTGATTCTCTCCCCTGTGGAAAGACAGGGAGAGGTGACTTCTGAAGGGTGGAAGGAGAGGTGTGTATACAGCTCAGTGTAGTGAGATGGTTCCGGGTCCTCAACCAACCTGCAGAAACAGACACTTGGATGATGATGATGGCTCAGGAGTCGGTGCCGAGGGAACAGGTGGTCTCTTCCGCTGGAATCTCAACTTTTTCCTTAACGGGGATGTAATATTTCTTACTGGCTCATTCACACGTCTGCAGACTCATCAGAGAAGTCTGCCAGATGGACTTTGCCAGATCCTACAGGGCCTCATTCACAGGCAGAGCAACTCGGGTAGAGAGAGATCACGGGAGGATGCTTAGGCGCTTATGCTGGACTTTTAAGGGAATCTGCAATGCACTTCATTAACTTTTGGAAATGTCTGAACTCATCAGCTGCAGACATTAGGGGAGGCATAACCCCTTCATTAGGGAAAATTAAGAAATATTTGTTTGGGGAGTGTGATGAGGTGGCTGCCTCTCACTGGCAGAAAAGGGGTTAAAAGCAGCCCTAGGGAGGTTGCACCAGAGACAGCCAATTAGAAAGGGGCTGAGAGCAGCAGTGACCCCTGGCATATTGGAAGGGCTGCAGTGCAGGCAGAGCAGATTCAGTAGCTGACTGACAGCAGTGAGGCACCACCAAGGCGGGCACCCTAGCAAGGAGAGCGAATTCCCATGGCAGCTGGCAGAAAGCGCCAGAACAGTGATTCGCACCCTATCGCAGGGGATAATCTCCTTAGCTGCCCTAGGCTCCTGGTCTTCACAGGGTTTTTGTGCCTACGGTCATAAAGGAGGAGGAGCTGGAGCAGGGAAGCATCTCGTCCACATTCCCCACAGAAGAGTCTAGGGGCCTGGGAAAGTTGCTGATGATCCCACTATGGAGAGGTCTGAAACGCACTGGGGTGACAGTCACTTGGATGGGATTCTGCAGCCTATTTTTGGTGGAACTCCCCCCTTCTTGTCACCAGAGCGTCAGGATGGAAATTCCTTGTTTGATGTGCTGGGGAGCACTGCCTCGAAACATTCACTTTGAAGGAAAATTCCTTGTTTTTAAGAGGGGGAGCCTCAGCACCCTGAAAGTGTTGGGTAGTCAAGTGGCACCAGGGGAAAGGTCCCACCTTGGTGACCATGCTTGTCTCGGTACCAATAGCCAATTAGTACCAACTAACAAGGGAGATGCACACTCCTGTAAAACAAACAGAGCTCTTGAGAATCTGAATTCTTGCAGTACTGGGTGGGTTTGAAGAGCAGGGCTCTGTTCTTTTGTCTGTATTGAGGATATATGCTTTCCAGGTGAGTCCACGCTGATGAAAGTAGACAGTAACAATGAGGGTGCCTAAGGGGCCATGGAGACCATAACATCTTCCTGAAACTGTGGCCAACTGGGATGTAGATGGTGAAGAAAAGGCCGTGGCTACCATCCTCTGTGAGGTGGACTATTTCAATGATGCAGTGTCCTGCTTACGCTGCACTGAAGGTTTCAGTATGGAGTTACGCTTGCAGCCCTTTTTCTCTGCTGAGCCTGGAGACTTGGGTACAGAAGCAATACTAAGCATGTCTGGAGCCTTAACCATACCCAGGGTGGAATGCAATGTCTCTACAGAAATTGTCTTCTGCAGGGACCAATTGTCTTCTGCCTGTTTTAGATGGAGTCTTTCTGTGGAAATTACTCCATTTGCTATGAATATTCTCTGTATCTCAGGTAGACCAAGGTAAAAGTGCTGTGCCTGTTTTAGATGGAGTCTTTCTGTGGGAATTACTCCATTTGTTATGAATATTCTCTGTATCTCGGGTAGACCAAGGTAAAAGTGCTGCGGTTAAGTGGGCACTGACTGCTCAGCACTGAATTCGGTAGTTGAGGGGGGAGGTGTCTTCTGAGCCAGATCTCAGGCTAGTTGGAGGAAAAACCCTGTCATTAGGAGTCTCAGGGTTAGCTCCCGATTTCTTTTTGCCCTGCCCTTAAAGCAGTGCAGAGCACTTCTGTGGGACACAAGATGCTCCCAAGCAAAAGCTACTGGCCAGGAGGCCTCCAGGCAAGAGACATACTGCTTGAAGCTCAAAGAGCCTGCACATCCCCAGGTAACAGTATGCAGCAGGGGAAGGGCCCTCTCCACAAAGGGGAAAGAGAGTGAAAGGCTCACCTTGATCAGGGCTCTGAGGAATAGAACTGCTGGAATCAGACAACACAGCTGTTCTGACACAGGTGGTCAGCCAGGAATTCCCACCCCAGAAGTTTCCCCCTTAGCACTCCATGGGACACTGGCTACTCCAAAAGAGGCACTGCCCCTTTCTCCCCAGAAGAACTAGTAGGTGATGCAGTGGGTTTGCTCTCAGCTGCACCTTTTCATGTACTATCCCTCTCAGAGCAGCAACACTATCACTGAGCCCTTTTGGAGGTACCTGCATTCTCAAAATAATATGGAAACAGAGCAAGTGAAGTGTGAACAACTTCTGCTCTAGCTGCAATGAGGGCAGGATTTCTGGGGTGCTGGCAATGGCAAGGAAGCAGCCCATCTTTGGCTGGGCCCAGCATGATGGCTTTCAACTGCTCTGGCACTTGCAGGGGATGGGCACATCCTGCTCCCTATGGCTGAGCCTGACAAACATGACTTTAGATCAAAACAAAAAAAGAAACAAAGAGAAACTGTATTAACTATCCATAACCAACTGTCCTCCCCACCCCAAATCACACCGTGTTACAAACATGGAGGGCCTACCTGGCAGAAATCCAGGAACATCCACAAAAGTGATCAGAGGAATGTTGAAAGCATCACAGAATCGAACAAAGCGGGCTCCCTTCACAGAAGAATTTATGTCCAAACACCCTAATAATGTTCAGAAACAGAGAGGACACCATATGTCATGGGGTTTTACAACTGTTCTAATAAATTGTAACCTTCAGATATTGCATTCAGGATAGTATCAGGATCTCGCTGGCTCGTTTGGCTGTATTACCTTGTATCCAAATTACTCCTGTTGCTGTATTTTCAGTTGTGGCGGGCTATTTTTTGTCTACTTAGTGATGTTTCCCCCTCATTTCACTTCAAGGTCATGGATAAAAAAAATAAAAATCATTCCAGGTGCCTAAGTCCAACTGGTAGTCAGAGAGACTTAGGTGCTTTGAATGTTATGGGATATTATTGCATGTTACGAGACTGCATTGTTTTAGCACTAAGAGTATGACATGTATTTTATCTGTAAGCATTACATAGTATTTCTCTATAACGTACAAAGCCTCAGATATCTGCAGTGTTGTAGCCATGTCAGTCCCAGGGTGTTAGCGACACCAGGTGGGTGAGGTAATATCTTTTATTGCACTAACTTCTGATGATGAGACAAGCTTTCGACCTATACAGAGCTCATCTTCAGGTCTGCGACCAGTACTCAGTGTCACAGCTAAATACAATACTGAACTGATAGTTTAGCAGTCCTCATTATAGGCTAAGGAGACCATTCCAGGTGAAGTGGCCCATTAATTATATCCAGATAATTCTGGTAAGTGTGCTGTGCCCACATGCTGGAGAGGAAGGTGAAACTCTCCCAAGGTCATTGTCAATCTGACCCGGAGGAAAATTCCTTCCTCACCCCACATATGGGGATGAGTTAGATCCTGGGCATGTGAGCAAGAACCAGCCAGAGCTAAGCACCTGACAGAGGGATTCTAGATACCACCTGAGAGCCTCACTCCATGTAGTGTCCCATTGTCCTGTCTTGTCACTGCTAGTATATCACAGAAGGGAGATAAAAATCTCCCAGGATTCACTAACATGGGAGCCTTTCCTGACTTTTGCAGGTGACCAGCTGAAGTTTGAGCTTTAGACACATAAAATATAAATCAGAAATTACCCTATAATTAAGCCTTAACCTCCACTGCACATGCCACTCAGTCATACAACTGCACATACATTTGTCCAGTTCTCTCTCAAAGCTAAGTAAGTAGTTGGCCTGCACAACTCCTGTTGAGAGGCTGTTCCATGAGAAAAAGTGAGGTTCTGGCTAGAAACCTTCTAATTTCCAGTCTGAATTTGTTCTGGCCAGTTGATATCCATTTATTCTTGTGGGAACATTGCTCATTAGCTTACATAGCTCTTCACCTTCCCTGGCATTTACCCCTCTATTGTGTTTATAGAGAGCAATCATATGCCCTTTCAGCTTTTGTTTTTACTAGACTTAACAAGTCAAGCTTTTCCATTCTCTAAGAAGACAGACCTTTTGTTACCCTAATCACCCTAATAGCTCTTCTCTGCATCTATTCCACTTTAAATTTATCTTTCTTGAATATGGGTGAGTACAGTTGTACACAGATGAGGTCTGATCTGTGCCTTTTAACAAGGCATTAATATGTCTCTATCTCTAGAAATGCCTCATCTGATATATCATAAGAGGCACATTTACCTTTTTCACAGCTTCATATTCATGCTCTTAGTCACTCTGGGTATGTCTATACACTGCAGCTATTTTGGGATACTGGAGTTGTAAGAATTTATTATTCCTTTCTTCACTATTTGCTCTAAAACCTTGTATATCACTGAGGTCAGACTTACACGCCTGAAATTGTCAGATCACTTTTCTTCCCTTTCTTAAATAGAAGTATGACACTAGCTTTTCTCCAGTCAGATGACACTACCCTCAGATAACTGATTTATTAAAAATTATTAGTACTGAATCAGCAATCTTATGTTCCAGTTGTTTCAGTATTATAGGATGGAAGTTTATGTAGTCCCCCCACCTCAATTTGAGTGCATTAACCTCTAAATTTTTCTTCCACATCAGATGTTATTTCCATTTTTAAACACACATTTCCATCAGCCATATTGCATTCATGCACATCATCATAGTTACTGAAAACTGAGGCAAAGGATTCATGTAGGTTCTAGTTATCTTCTTCCTGTTCACACTGCATAGTGGCCCAACCTCAACCTTCTTTATTCTCTATTTATATAACTAAGAAACTAATTTATTTTATATTTCCTGAGCAAAAGATAATTCAGCTTGATTTTTAGCACTTCTCACTTTATTCTCACATTTTCTAACCCCCTTGTGATGTAGCTTTCTTTGCTGATCAGCCCCTTTTTGCATTCCTTACAGACTCTCTGCCAACTCTTAATAACCTTTTTTAAGTAGTTATTCATTCAGCTGAGCCTGGAGCCTTTCCCTCGAAGTTTTTTCCCTCTTTCTTGGTGAAAATTTCAGGCAGCTTTTGTATAGTTGATTTGAAGAAATTCCAAGGCTCCTCCACATTTAAGACCTTGAGCTCTTCAGTACAGCTGACTTTTCCTAATTCCCTTAATCTCCCAAAGTCTGGCCTTTTGAAATAAAAAAACATAGTGACCTTGTTTTAATGATCCTTCCATTTAATTTAAATTGCATCAACTGGTGATCACTTTATGCTAGGTTTTTCCTAAGAGCAGCTCTTCCATTATGTCCTTACTACTTATTAAAACACTGAAGAAGTTTTTCCTTCTTTTTCCATGTCAGAAAACAATTAAAATATACATATTTTATTATATTTAATTTATACTAAACTGGTATCCAAATGGAAACAAACAGTCTTGAGCATTTAGACATCTTTGCCAAAATTAAAACCACCGAATCGAAAGGAAGCCAGCAGAAAAACCTGCTAATTTTTTCAGGTACTCATATGACGGTTAACAATTTAACTTGGCAAATGTTTGTATTTGATCAAGTTGCCCTTGAGAAAAACGATCAAAAGTCATCATATGACCATTTGATTTTCTCAAAAATGTAATTTGCCACATAGAAACAACATCATTTAAGAAAAGCAACAAAACTCCCTTCAAAATAACAGAATTCCCCTACCAGCTCTGATAGAGGTTTATCTAATCCAGTAACAGCAACCTAGGGCTAATACTAGAGACTGCAGAGAAACATGCAAGGGAAATAAGGGCTAATACTTATGTTAGTTACAGATAAATTTATACCCTGAAAGGGGAAGTTACTCACCTGGTGTAGTAAGGATTATTCTTCGAGATGTGTCCCTGTGGGTGCTCCACTCTAGGTGTCGGGCTGATCGGAGGCTTTTCGTAGCTGTAGTCGGCCAGACCGCGCATGCGCAGCAGGTTCCACGCACCGTTTCTCCAGTCACGCGGTCCGGCCCCTTCGCCAGTTCCTGTCACCGTCCGGAATCTGTAACGAGATAAGGAGACAGACCCGGAGCGGGGAGGAGGGCGGGACGTGGAGCACCCACGGGGACACATCTTGAAGAACGATCGTTACTACACCAGGTGAGTAACTTCCCCTTCTTTGAGTGGTCCCCGTGGGTGCTCCACTCTAGGTGACTACAAAGCAGTAGTCAAGATGCGCACCGGGTCAATGATTTTGTGTAGAGGCTAGAATCGCGGTCGCTACTGCTGCGTCCGGGGCCCAACGCCGCACTGCAGCATAATGATGAATGAAAGAAGTGCTAGAGGACCAGGTGGCTGCCCGGAAAATGTCGCTGAGAGGGATGCCTCGGGCAAAGGCGGTGGAGGTGGCCACCGCTCTAGTGGAATGAGCAATGTGTTGAGAAACGAGAGGCCTTCCTTTGAGTGAATGGCATGTCGAGATGCAATCGGTAATCAGTCTAGCTATACGTTGACTCGAAATAGGATTGCCTTTGGAACGCTGCGCTATGGACACAAGCAGCCTGTCCGTACGTCTTCATGAGAAGCGAGAGCTCGTTGCACGTCGAGTGTGTGAAGCAAGGCCTCTGATGGAGAAGAATGTGGCTTAGGATAAAAGGCATTTAAAACTATAGGATCATTGATATGAAAAGAGGTATTGACCTTGGGAATGAACGCCGGATGCAGGCGCAATATCACTGTGTCCTTTGAAAAGGATGTGTAAGGAGGACTTGCCATTAACGCTCCTAGCTCGCTGACTCTGCGTGCCGAGGTAATCGCCAATAGGAATACAACTTTCATTGTTAACATTCGCAGTGATATTGATGCCAAAGGCTCAAAGGGGGGGTGCACTATTGTGTGCAGTACCAAATCCAGGCTCCAGGCTGATGGAGGGGGTCTGTGAGGTGGATGCAGGTTCATTAGACCCTTTAAAAACCTTTTTGTAGTTTGATGGGAAAAATTGAGGAACCCTGCAGTGGCTCATGAAAGGCACTGATCGCTGCTAAATGAACTTTCAGAGTAGACAAGGAGAGACCAGAGTCTTGAAGCTGCAGGACGTAATCTAGGATCTGCTGCAAAGGAGAAACAAGGGGTTCCACGTTTTGAATTTGAAACCATTGAGCAAATCTGCGCCACTTTAAGTTCTCCGAGTGGAATCTTTCCTACTACTCATCAAAATTGTCTTGACTCGTTGTGAGCAAAGGTGCTCATCCTGTTTGAACCAGTTATCAGCCATGCTGTGAGGTGAAGTGAGTCGAGTCTAGGATGCAGGAGAGCTCTGTTCTGCTGTGATAACAGGTCTGGACAAAGAGGGAGTGGCCATGGTGGGTATATTGACAGCCTGTACAAGAGTGGGTACCAAGGCTGTCTTGGCCATCTCGGAGCTATCAATATGACTGTTGTGCGTTCGAGCATTATTTTCTCTAGAGTCCTGGCCACCAGGACAGTCGGGGGAAATGCATAGAGAAGTGATGCGCGCCAAGTGGTAAGAAGAGCATCGCCCAGAGATCTGCTCCCCATCCCCGCTCTGGAACAGAACTGGGGACACTTGGCATTCTGCACTGTGGCAAATAGGTCCACTCTCGGCATACCCCACCTGCGAAAGATGCGATGTAGAATATCTGATCTTATCTCCCACTCGTGATCTACCAGGAAACGTCTGCTCAACGAGTCTGCAATGACATTGCTGATGCCAGGTAAGTACGACGCTGTGATGGTTGCGCCGTTCTTTATGCACCAGTTCCACAACCGTATTGCTTCCACACAGAGGGAACAAGATCTGGCACCCCCCTGTCAGTTTACATAGTACATTGCTGCCACATTGTCTGTGAATATCCTGACGGTGGTGTGCGCTTGCATGCTAGGGAAATGGCGCGTAACTCCAAGAGATTGATGTGATAAGTCTTCTCTATGGAGGGCCATTTGCCCTGAACATGATCGTTGCCCATATGTTCACCCCAGCCTATGAGAGATGCATCTGTCGTTATAAGCACAGAAGGCTGAGGACGACAGAATGGGACTCCGGAAAGGATGTTTCCTGTGCATTTCCACCAACGCAGGGAGTCGCGAACATGAGGCGGCACAGTGACCGTCTTGTGAATGCTGTGTTTTTGTGGTAAGTATACCCTTCCTAACCAGTGTTGAAGATCTCTGAAGTGAAGTCTTGCATGAGGAAACATGAAGGTGGTGGATGCCATGTGGCCCAGAAGGCGCAGACACGTATGTATGGACACAGTTGGAGCTATGTCGAGTACCTTTACTAGTTCCTGTATCGCTTGGAACCTGTCTAGAGGTAAGTATGCCCTTGCCGTGATAGAATCTAGGACTGCGCTGATGAACTTTATGTTTTGTGTCGGAGCAATGGTCGACTTCTGTTCATTTATTATCAAGCCGAGAGAATCGAACGTGTTTCTGACTAACGAGATCATCCACATGGTCTCTTGATGCGTTGGGGCCTTTATGAGGCAATCGTCTAAATAAGGGAATATGAGGACGTGCTGGCACCGTAGATATGCCACAACTACCGCTAGAGTCTTTGAGAAAACTCTGGGAGCTGCCGCCAAACCAAAGGGGAGGACCCTGTATTGGAAATGGTCGTTGTTTATCACGAAGCGCAGAAAGCATCTGTGCGCCCGGTGGATTGTAATGTGAAAATACGCGTCTTGCAAGTCGAGGGCTGCAAACCAATGGTTGTGCGATAGGAGCCATCGGGAGATGGTCTCCTGGATGAATAGGCAGTGCTGTATCTGCTGCCATAAGATCTCGAGGGTGAACGAGTTGGTGAGCGAGACCTAGAAGTATGCATCCCAAAATGTGGTATGGGGTGCCTGTAAACATAAGTTTAGTGAGGCCTCGAGTGGCGGTGCGGAGAACGCGAGCTGCGATGATAACGAGGCCCCTTGGAGAATGGTATCGCGGAGGGGAGGGAGACAGTGCCGAAAAAATCGGTGATGGAGATGGAGACCCTCTTCTAGGAGCCGACTTCCTTTGAGCTTTTGATGCTGTATCTGCTGCCATAAGACCTCGAGGGTGAACGAGTTGGTGAGCGAGACCTAGAAGTATGCATCCCAAAATGTGGTATGGGGTGCCTGTAAACATAAGTTTAGTACGGCCTCGAGTGGCGGTGTGGAGAACGCGAGCTGCGATGATAACGAGGCCCCTTGGAGAATGGTATCGCGGAGGGGAGGGAGACAGTGCCGAAAAAATCGGTGATGGAGATGGAGACCCTCTTCTAGGAGCCGACTTCCTTTGAGCTTTTGAAGGTACGGCCGAAGGCATGGCGCAGGGCTCATCGACGGAGGAATGCCTGGAGACCTGATCCTCATCATCTAAGACCAGTATTGGGGAGTGCCGCGCCGATGAAGCTGGGGAGGCTAACTCTCCTACCGGTGCCTTAGGCGGAACCGAGCTGCCATGGTCCGCTGGTGCCGTGCTCGCTTTCTTCATAATTTGCAGTGCCACTCCCGGCACTGTAGTGTGACTGCCACTCGGCGCTGTATCAGGTGCCGTGGGCGTTCGGTGCCCCGGTGCCGCCTGCTCTGTCGGTGCCGCTTGTTGAAGCGATGCCGTATCGTGTCTTCCGTGTTTCTGCACTGTCGGTGCCGAGGTTGTAGGGTCAGGCACTCTCATAGGCTGCTGCCCTTGAGTCGGCGGTGCCGATTTCTTCCCCGCCTTAACAGTGGTCGACGGCACCGGCACGGAAGAGGAACGTCCCACAGACTTATGCCTGTGCGATTTTTGTTTCGCGGGTTGATAACCTGTTCCGGAGGTATCTGGCTGGTCACCATCACTGATTTTAGATAGAGGGGCCGCAGTCAGGGATCGCGCCGGGGAGACTTTTTTCCCCTTCTTTTGAGTCCACCCGCTCTGCGGTGAAGACCTCCTCTTGCGCTCCATAGAGGGATCTCCTTGAGGCATTTCAGAAGGCTGCAGAGCCTTATCAAATAGGATGAGCTTCAGCCTCATGTCCCTGTCCCTACGTGCCCTGGCCGTTAATTTGGAAGAGTGAGCATATTTGCTCGGCACATGGGACTCCCCCAAGCCATGGCCGTCGGACGCCGGCATGGGGTCTTTGCACAAAGAACATTTCTTAAAACCCGGTGAACCGGGCATTTTGAATTTCCTGGGTTCAAACAGTAGAGAAAACTAGAAATAACAGTAGCCTTAACTAACTATGTCAAGCTTTCAATTTTTTTTTAAACAAATAACTAACTACCTAACTAACGCTAACCATAACCTGAGGAAAACGAATGAAAATTTTTAACTTTTCTATTGAAAGGAGCTGCCTCTGAGGAGAGACTCAGATCTCCGTCAGCAACCTAGGATGGTTGAAAGGAACTGGCGAAGGGGCCGGACCGCGTGACTGGAAAAACGGCGCGCGGAACCTGCCACGCATGCGCGGTCCGGCCGACTACAGCTACGAAAAGCCTCCGATCAGCGGCGCTGGAACGAGCCCGACACCTAGAGTGAAGCACCCACGGGGACCACTCGAAGAAGAACACAAGGATATATAGACTTCGCACATTTTTTCATCTTTTAAAAAGAACCCTTACAATGGTAACTCCAGATGTGCTTATTATCCAACAAAATGTCTCAAGTCTGTTAAGCTCTTGATCTCCGTTAATCATACATGGATATAATGGCATTAAGCTCCACAGGCTTGTTGTGTGTTATGTGAAAAAGCACTACATTTATCAGATTTCAAGTTGCTGGCTACTGATTTCACCAAATACCTCCTTGTTTGTTTATTTTAAGAAAAGATGAGTAGAAGTGCCCTCTCCATACCAGATTTCACCAAATATCTTTTCTTAAAATAAACAAACAAGGAGGTGAGTAGAAGTGCCCTCTCCATACTGTTTATTTCATTTACCTTTTTCATATCCCTCAGATTTGTCATTTTGCCAAATTAAACAGTTCAGATGGCAGGTTTTCCATGTCCCTAGTCTTTCTTGCTGCCTGCCTAGGAATCCTCTCTCTCTTTCAGCTGTGTCTGTTGGGCTAGAAATCCAAACACCATATTCCATCTGATGAGGACTACTAATTTATAGTAGAAATTTAGAATTTTTTCCAGTAGTGTCCTCTATTTATTATTTTTTATTATTAATTATTATTATTATTAGCTGTGCACTGAGCAAAGCTTTTCACTGAGCTGACCCAAAAAACCCATCGTGTCTTTTTCTGAGTGGTACCAGTTGAAAACAATTTTTATTTCAGACCATACAAATCATCTTACATTGCTCAACATAGAATTTTATCTGCCATTGTACTATGTTGCTCATCCCACTGAAGTTTTTCATGGGCTTTACTAATCTTGACATAAACATTATTTAGGCTCATGATCTGCAAATTCTGCCACATCACTGTTTACCTCTCTTTTCCAGATCATTGTCACATAAAATGCTACCCTTAGCACAGAACCTGGAGACATTCCACTATTAAACTTTTAGGGGAAAACGAATCATAGACCCAACCTTTAAACACTCATAGTACACCAAGTTATCATACGTCCTCACAATGTGTTTAATAAAACACAACCAGTAGCCACCTTACAAACACCCTTAAGCAGATATACAGCAGCAGACCGCTTGCTCCTACCTGATGCCACTTTGGGTTGATTACCCACTATTCCAACAGTTCTTCCATTCATCCTTGCAAATCCAACAACGATGTTCCTGGCATAAGAGGGCATGATCTCAAAGAATTCCCTCTCATCAACAATCTGTAAGAATGAGATTCAGACAGAATCCTCATATGGATACACATGGTGTAGTTCTGGGACTTACAACAATATCAATGTTACACAGAAAACCCCCCCACTGACGAGGAATCAGACAATTTTATTCTCTTTCTTTACAAATGTAATTGTCAATATATACTGGATGCTGCATTTACTTTTGAATTTATTCTATTGAGGTGCTAAAGGAAAGAAGGACAATCCAGGGAACTACAGACCAGTCAGCCTTACTTAAATCCCCGGAAAAATCATGGAGGAGATCCTCAAGAAATCCATTTTGAAGCACTGGGAAGAGGGGAATGTGATCAGGAATAGTCAACATGGATTCACCAAGGGCAAGTTGTGCCTGACCAATCTGATTAGCTTCTATGATGAGGTAACTGGCTCTATGGATATGGGGAAGTCAGTGGATGTTATATATCTTTACTTTAGCAAAGCTTTTGATACGGTCTCCCACAATATTCTTGCCAACAAGTTAAGGAAAGATGGATTGGACTGTAAGGTGGATAGAAAGCTGGCTAAATTGTCAGGCCCAATGGGTAGTGATCAGTGGCTCAATGTCTGGCTGGCTGGCTGGCTGCAGTGATCAGTGGCTCAATGTCTGGCTGGCTGGCTGCCGGTTTCAAGTGCAGTGCCCCAAGGATCAGTTTTAGGGCCAGTTTTATTCAACATCTTCATAAATGACCTGGATTAGGGGACGGATTGCACCCTCAGCAAGTTTTCATATGACACTAAGCTAGGGGGTGAGGTAGATACGTTGTAGGGCAGAGATAGGGTCCAGAGTGACCTAGACAGATTAGAGGATTGGGCCAAAAGTAATCTGATGAGGTTCAACAAGGACAAGTGCAGAGTCCTGTACTTGGGATGGAAGAATCCAAAGCATTATTACAGGCTGGGGACCGACTGGCTAGGAAGGAGTTCAGCAGAAAAGGACCTGGGGATTACAGTGGATGAGAAGCTGAATATGAGTCAACAGTGTGCCCTTGAAGCCAAGAAGGCTAATGGCATATTAGGTTGCATTAGGAGGAGCACTGCCAGCAGATCTAAAGAAGTGATTATTCCCCTTTATTCGGCGCTAGTGAGGCCACATCTGTGTCCAATTATGAGCCCCCCCACTACAGAAAGGATGTGGACGCACTGGAGAGGGTCCCAGTAGTGAAGGGTCCCATTTTGGTGAAAGGCAACCAAAATGATTAGGGGGCTTGAGCACTTGACCTACAAGGAGAGGCTGAGGGATTTGGGCTTAGTCAGTCTGCAGAAGAGAAGAGAGTGAGGGGGGATTTGATAGCAGCCTTCAACTTCCTGAAGGGAGGTTCCAAAGAGGATCGAGAGAGGCTGTTCTTCCTAGTGATGGATGGCAGAACAAGGAGCAATGGGCTCAAGTTACAGTGGGGGAGGTCTAGGTTGGATATTAGGAAAAATTATTTCACTAGGAGGGTGGTGAAATACCGGAATGGGTTACCTAAGGAGGTGGTGGAATCTCCATCCCTAGAGGTTTTTAAGTCTTGGCTTGACAAAGCCCTGGCTGGGATGATTGAGTTGGGGTTGGTCCTGCCTTGGGCAGGGGGCTGGACTCGATGACCTCCTGAGGGCTCTTCCAGCCCTGTGATTCTATGACACCAAAGAAAATCTTTCAACGGATTCCCCTGTAATGAGGGCACTTTTCTAGTTTGCAACACACTAATACTTACCTTGGATGTTTATAAATACTTGATAATAATCTGAAGTGTGTGCTTTATTAAAGACTGATCTCCAAATGTTAAAAAAAAGTAAATGACACACACAAGGTGGATGAGGAAATACACACACACACACACACCTATATAATTGTTTTGATCAGCATTGGTTGGTGAAAGACAGAAACTTTTAAGTTCCACAGTTGTTTACATCTCTTTTTTTAAACAAACCATTTTCCTTACATATTTAGTATGTGTTGCAGTCCTCCGTGAAGTCAAAGCATTTTGCTTCTTCAGAGAAGATCAGTGCATAATTCTTTGTGTAATCCCATACACATTATACTAATACATGCAATCTGTGTAATGCTATCTAAGTAACTGGTGTTGCACAAAATGTAAGAGGCTCATAACAGAGCAGAACTGAAGTGTAATTTTATTTGCACAGAAGCAGCACATACTAAGTCAATGGCATCTATAGAACTGAGACAGAAAAACACAGCAGAGCAGTCTCCCTGAAAAGCAGTCCTCGGCCATGTTCTGCTTTTACCACCTGAAGGGATCAGGCAAGGAAGGTTCTTCAAACCTCCCTTGTAGCCAAATTCCTTTCTGTGCCCCACCTCCTCAGAGGTCAGGGCTAAATTCCTCATATCTGCCTTTAAACCTAGGAACAGACTTCTCATTCTGTGATCTATAAAGTGATGTCCACAGAAATGCAAAGCAAAGTTCAAATGTTCGTAAGTGTGCATAAGTATAGATGGAGCAATAGTTATACCTGTATTATTGTCGCCTAACATATCATTATGAACCCGTTTTCTGCTGTTTAAAATAACTTTGCCTACCACCCATGTAGGCTGCAGTTTTCCATGCTAGATGTTGGCTTCAGAATATTTTGTTCAGTTTGAGTAAAGGCAGTTCAGCTATTTCTGAGGACCTGGTAAAGGACAGATAGGTAGTTGTAATAATGCAAAAAATATCGGCTCATATTTTAAACAGCTCTGTGCCTGGGGGGAGAATTTTCAACAGTATCTGGCCTAGGAGCAGAAGTCCTGTTGAAAGTTAGTTGGACTTTTCTAACTCACCCAGGCACTTGTGAAATCCCAACCCTCTTTTGGGGCAGGTGCTTGAATTTTGGCAGAAGAATAAGCCCTTTGCTTACCCCCATGATAATTCACCCAGAGGTGATCTAATTTTTAGCTCTGGGAACAGAACTTGACAAGGTTTATGCCTTAATATTCAGAACATTCCATCCACAGTGAGCATGCTCCTAGACCCCACTAAGTCGCTAGCACTATTCTGAGGTAACTTCACAGAGCTGAACTGCCAGATAAAATGCATCATTACTCTTATCAAAATACTATTCAATTACAGAGCTGTTACACCATGATTTCTGCGGTTTTATCTTTTCCACAGACCAATATTAACATGCCCATGCACATGAACTGTATTTTAGCAGGAAGGCAAATATCAGCCTTTACTGCCTATTTCACAGGGTAGATGGATATTGGACAAAGTCAATTCTGTCAAATTTCAGACTATAGCTCAATAAGGAAGAGCCAATTCACACCTTTTTACACTGCCTCTCAGAAAATCTGAAAAATCTATGTGCCAGGATGCCAGTACAATTGAGCTATTGTACATGTACCCTATTGCTTCAGTATGTTGCACATGATCCCCTTGTGTCTGTTCCACAGAGGATAACAGCACACTACTGCTGACAATTAACATTTAACTCAAGTAGTAGAGTGCTGAGCCATGAATCTGAAGGTGTAAAATTCAAACCCTAATGATAACCTGCAGAGGATATTGTAACAATTATATATTTTTGTATTGTTATTTTTAGTTTTCGTATGAAATAAAATATGACACAAAAAGCTAAGTGTTTCTATGAATAGATCTGAATCCCCGAATAAAGTATGTTTCTCTTTTAGTTAGGGGAAACGGTACAACACACAGCATTATTTAAAGAAATAAAATGGGAAGGGCTCTAAGGTGTGCTTTTTATAGCTTTTTTCTCATCCACCTTTTAAGAAAAGAACTGTGAACAATACTATCTTCCATTTATGTGACTTATGAGCATTTGGAAGAGGAAAATGAGTCAAAGATAAATCCTAAATCTGATATTCCATTCATACACCAGAATGCTTATTTTTTCAGTTTTATTTCCCCTGGGTTTATGATCAATGCATGGAGAAAGAATTATCTTAATGGCTACTGTGAAGAGAGAGTTCACTGTAAGTGGGTCTCCTGTAGCATTCTGCTAGTCTGCTTCGAGCATTTTGAGCCATTTCATAATTTGTCACATACTGTAAATACTTTTCTTTAAGAACAGAAGGCTTACCGAATGTACAATGTCCACCATATCATAGGCTTTAGTAGACTCCATTGGGACAATTGTGTCCAGCTCAGGAACCAAGCGGTTACTTCAGACAAATAAAATGCAAAGTAATTAAAAATGACATCTACAACCACAAAAATCAGATTAATTTCTATACAATGGGAGGAGTTACAAGTGCATGTCTTCTGTATGGAAAGAGGGGGCCTCTTGGAGGATTGCAGGATCTGTACATCTTCCACCTGCTGCAGACTCTACTGGCCACTAACACAGGAGCTACAAAGAGGTGGTGGGATGGGGAAGACACAGAGAATATTCTGGCCTGGGAAGTGTTAAGGGGGAAGAAGCAGCAGCAGGAGATGTTTTAGGGCAGGGGGGAGCAAACATTTTTGACTGGGGGCCACTTCACAAATTTTTGAAGTGGCCCTGGGCTGCCTTGGAAGGGGGGATTCAGGCGGAAGGGGCGGTGCCAGGATATTCTGTGCTTCCCCAAACACAGACCCTGATTGGTCTGGGGGTGGGAGAGCACGCAAAGTTTTTGCCCCCCCTCAGAGAGAACCGCCAGCTGTTCCGAATTGCTGGCAGTTCCCTCTAGGTACTCATGCTCCTGGCGGTGGGAGGAGACTTTGCGTGCTCCCCCCAGGTCAACCAGGGACTGGGGAGGGGGAACACGTGAAGTCTCATGTTTTCTGCCCCTGCCCTGCAAGGGAGAGCTGCACTTAGAGTCAACCGCCAGCTGAGCAGCAGCTGGCAGTTGATTTTTAAGTGCTGAGCCCCCTGCAGGGCAGGAGGAGACTTCATGGGCTCTCTCCGACCCTAAGCCCTGATTGGCCTGGGGACAGGGGGAGCGTTGCAAAGTCTCCTCCCACCCTGCCCCCCGGCCTGTAAGGAGTGTGCAGTGCTTAGAAGCACTGCACCCCTTGCAAGGCAGGAGGAGACTCTGTGCACTTCCACCCCTGCCCCCAAGCCCAGATTGGCCTGGGGGCAGGGGAGTACCAGGGCCTTTGCAGGCCAGATCAACTTGCTTGGTGGACTGGATCCAGCCCGCAGAGGCCCTTTTGCCCACCCCTGTTTCGGGGGAAAGGGGACAAGTCTTTCATTTCTGTCTCCCTAATTGTTGGGCTGGAACACTACTGTGATGGTGCGAGGGAGGGAAGCACCAATGAGGAAAAAGTTGCACAGAACTATCCTCTATATATCAGCCCTAAAGCAGTGATGCAAATCTATGGGCTGTCATCTTTCCTGTCTGAATTATATGGCGGTGAGGCACCTCTCTTTGGCTTTCTCCACTGGCCATAAAGTCTTTTGCACAAGGAAGAATACATTTATTAATGGGATAAAACTGGCAGGAATATACAGTAAAGTTTTTCATGTTGCTGTTACAATAGTCTACTTAAAGGTTTCCCTAAAATCATCATCTAAAGGAATCCTTAATTTGAAAAATGCAACAGGGTTTGATTAAATCATGTTAAAGCTAAACATCTCAGAAACATCAACTGTCCAGAAAATGTTTTTGTAAATGGGTAAAAAATTCTGCAAGATACTTGGGAATCCAATCTCAAGTAACCTTAAGGATCTGTACAATGGAAACATCAAAGCGTTGCTCCAGGAAATAAACAGAGCTCTGGAGTGTTGGAGGAATAACAGTCTTTTGGCAAGAGAGAACAGCCATTGTGAAAATAAATGTTTAGCCCGTGATACCCATGTTGTTTCACAGCCCTCTTCAAATAATAAAACTCCAGCAGATATTCAGAGGATGCTGTTTGAATGTATATAAGAGAAAGTTGAGAGTGCGTGCAGCTACTTTCCACAGACTCACAAAGCAGAATGGACCAGCTGCTCCAAACAGTATAAGGTACTATGAAAGCAGACAACGTAGGCAGTAGTGGGTTGAGGGACTCTAAACCAGGCAAATACTAATTTTTAATTGGACAGGCGAATTGTGGTAATATTTCTAGGTTAACAAAGATTAATAAAATTACATCCCCCAGAAATCTGGAGGCACCCTTTGGCATGGGCCCCTGTAATGGGGGAGGGGGGTCTATAAACCTCATGTAGATGGAAAGGGAGAAGAGTTCCTCCTGTTTGCAAACAAGCAGCTTGATCACACCCCCATGCAGCTGCCAGAACTGACAATCATGAATGCAGGAGCACAGCTGCAATCAACAGAGAAAACAAGACCTGCTATAAAAGGGAGTACAGACAAGGAAAGGGAGGCAGAAAGGCCAGGGATAACAAAGGGGTGACAGCTCAGCACCAAGAAAATGGCAAGGACACTAAGGGAGACTGCAAGCCCTACAACTGAAGAGCTGATAGATTTAAATGGAGTTGAGGGTCCAATAATGGACCCAACTGAGGATAAACTAAGGAGGTTCAGAGAGGAGAGGCTGAGACCCCTCAAAAGACCACAACAAATGGTGGTGACAGCCTCCCTTTGAGTTTTGGACAGTATTATATTTATTTTTCAATGCCTTTGCCTACAGTCCAAACTTTAACACAAGGAACTAGAGAGTTATACAGAGTAGAAGAGAAACGGGATACTCATGGCTGATGGATTGTGTACTAAAGAGAGTCTTCCAACTCCTTTAGTAAACAAACATCCATTTTTATTGGCCTTCTTTCCATCAGATGAGTTCTTTCAACCTAGGTATTATGGACCTGATCAGAGATAGTCAATGCCTCTAATTTCCGTGAGCACAGAATAAAACCCTATATTTCTCAGCTCTGGAATGAAATTCTTATATAGAGGAAACTAATTTAAATATCATCTGGACTAACAGGAAACAAATATAACTCATAAGTCACATCAGTATTTACTGCCAATTTTCCTGACAAGAAAATATCTGAATATATGTTATAACAGGACAAGAATTTAGGCAGATGCATTATCCCAAAGGAATGGGCTTTGATTTGGGGGAAAAGGATCAGCAATGTTGTTTTGTGGCACTATATAAGAAAATACATTTTAGATCTCGGTGTAAGTACCCACTCTCCATATGCAGAGCTCGCCACGCAGCAGCAAGCCCCGCTCGCCAGCCGTGCGGTTCGGCACGCTGCACATGTGCAGACCGCGCTGCGCATGCGCTGATCGTGCTGTGTGGCTGTGCCGGCTTGTAATCTACTTGCCACGGGTGAGTAGATTACACTAATTGTCGAGCCCTGCCCATATGGATGGAGAGACATGTTGAAGAAATTGTGGTGCAAAAAGGTTATGTTATGCATATATGGTGGAGATGTCAAAATGTTAGAGCCCTGACATATAGTTCATAACCTAATACTACAAAATGCTGACACACAGAGATTCTTTGGTAATACTTCTTCCTAGTAGAAATGGATCCCTGTGTGAAGGGGGAGGGCAGTACAGCCGCATGGGAGGGGTGGAAAGCTAGCTCTTGGGAGCGGTGGCTCCATGTTCTGCTCCTTTCATCACTGCAGTTCCCAGGAGAAGCTTGTGGATCCTGGATACTGATTTATATCCATGGATATAAATGTGTTTCTGCATAGGGCTCTAATTACTGGTAGCCCCTCTCAGAAAAAAAATGGCCATTACAAGAGGAATTCTTTAAAAAAAAAAAAAAACACCCACATGGCATGCTACTCACATGGAAAATTTACTCACTGAGTTCATGTATGGGAAAAAGATAGACTACAAAAATAACACTTACAAATGTCTTGAAATATTAATAAATATAATAGGATTTCTTGGTTTCTTAATCTCTCTCTCTATATAAAAAGTGTTTCCTGCTGGATGACAGAACATCATCATCGTGTCAACAGGCTCTCAACAAAGCGAAAGTGGCTAGAGAGGGGGTAGGCAAGCGTAGCGAGCAGAGGGCGTAGCCCCATAATATCAGTAAAGACACAAATGTTCTCCTGTTTAAAACACACCATCCAGGAGAGTCTGTTTTTGGTAAGAAGATCTGTTCTGTAACTTATTTCTGCCTAACAGGAACACAGGATGAATCTAAACAATGATCGGTTAATACCGTATTTCTGGTAGCTTTGGGACAATGGTTTACAAAACTGCTCATAATTCCTAAACAAAGAGCTAACGAAGTACCCAAATATCCAAAGGCATCAATGTAGAACCAGTGAAACTACAAAGCTATACGCACTGGGCCTTTGTGCTGCTGACATCACCTCTCCTCACAAGCCACAACTCTGGCCTCCTCCCCAAGGGAGTAGAAGCTACCAATATCTGATGATGATTGCTCTCCTGGACACTCAGTGGGAGAGCACACTCCTTACAGGCTGCTCCAATATGCCATGAACTACATATACGTCATAAATAACGTGTGGTGCTGAAATCATTGTCTTTGCTCACTGCTATGACCCCATCAGCCACATCCAAGTCCCTCGGTTGGTTCTTCCATCACCTCCACATCAAATACAAGTGTCTTGTTTTTACCTGTAAGGGCCCTTCCTAACCCAGCCCCACACTCCATAGCTCATCTAACCTGTAGCAACATCAACCCTTGCCTTTATTCCACCAGTGTTCCCATCCTGTACCACCTTCTTCTATCAAACAGCTTCACACTGTCTTCAGGTTGCCCTTATGCCCAAGAAAAACTTGATAAAATTCAAGCAGCCACTTCCTTATCCTCCTTAAGACACACCTCTACCATGCTGTCTACAAAACATAACTTGATGAGTATGATTAGGCAGCACATGGTAAACTGGATTGTCTGTCCTTCAGGGCAAGGATTGACCCTTGTCAATAGGCAAATTCTTCAGGAATTTGACCCTCCCCACTTTGTTGAAAAGCCGCTTTTTCTCAAAAAATGAGGTTTATGTGGCTTTTTGACAAAGGAAGGGTCGCCAAAAAAGCCGCGTCTTAACTACTTTCACTTTCGAAAGCTCTGCAAAATCCCACGGAATTTGCATATCTTCTTTCGACCGTTCCTCGTAGTCTAGATGAGCCCTATAATAATAACTATAAATAGACTTGACAAAGTATTGCGTATGCACATATACATGTTGCAAGAGGGAATTCATCAGTGAAGAAGGCAAAAACCAGAAGCCTAACTGCAAGATGCTCATTTCCACGTATTCACGCGGTCAGAAACATGCAAGATTATTCAACTGATAAGAACATTTAAGATATTACATGCAAGCCCCTCACTTACCTAGGATCATGGCATTTGCGAACTGGGGCTGGATCACGATTACTGAGAGGTAGGTAATTAAAAAACTCCCTGAGATTGAGCAGAGCATCTACATCATTCTCAAAAGCTCTGTGTGCGACCCCTGTAGAAAAAGGGAGGGAAAGAAGGAAATGAAAGAGAAACTCTAGAAAGGGATGGCAAACTCAGCCACAGGTTTTCCACCACAACCCAGTAAAACACTCTATAGTCGAGTTAAAATTACTTAAAGGGCTTGAAAATCCATTTCACTTCCCCTTGTATGTGAAAGCAGCGTATTATTTTCACTTAAAACTTTCAACGTACTCCCAGTTGTTGTTATCCCATCGATACACTGCAAAGTGCAAAAATGACTACTGCTACTCAATGCTCAAAACCCAATACCCAAAGCCCATAATCTTCAGTGAAGAATTTCACCTGGAGGCTCTTAGTGTGAAAAAGAAATTCTAACATCTATGCTGGAACTGCTGCTTCATTCAGTGTGGAAAACTGGAGCATATGTTAGCTAAGTAAAATAACTAGGTCTCACCGGATACTGAAGTGTGTGTCTTTGCTCCCCCAAGCTGTTCCTGAGTAACATCTTCATTGGTGACTGACTTGACTACATCAGGGCCGGTGATGAACAGATAGGATGTGTCCTGAAAAAGTAGATTGTCAAGTGAGAGTTCTAAGCTGCAACAGCACTTCAGCGATAGGAAACTATAAATGATTTTCTTCCGCTCTCACACTTTCCCTCAAAGGGTATGAAAAAAGGTGAAAAAGAATAAATTCCTTCAAGATCCCTTTTTTTAAAAGATGAGTCGAGATTAATTCAGCAACATTTAGTCAAAAATCTCTAAAAAATTTAATAATTTCCCACAGATTATGTGTTGTTGATCTGGATAAGATACTCTGCATTCCTCAAAGAAGACTGAGAATGAAGGCTCAATCCCTGGCCTTAAGTGAAAAATAAAACCTGAACTTAATCCAAAGGCACTGCAGCATCTCTACAGTTCTGGCATTCTGCCCCATCTCTTACTGTTGATATATTGACCTGTCTACACAATTCCTCTCTCAGCTTATGCAGAAAAACAACCGGGGACAAAAGTTCATTCTGGTTTATACACAGTTGCATCTTCAGTGCAATTATATTCTTTCCCAAATTAAGCAAAATAAAATCTTGTCTGTACTAGACTGAGATTTTGGGACAGTAATATACCACCTGCTTTTTCTGTGCAAGCCACAAAAAAATTTCAATTAGAAGAACTGCCAAATTCTGTAATGTGTATTGCCAGCTTCAATATATCTCTTGTACTGTCAAACACACAAAGCACACCAATGGAACGGAGAGTTAATTTTTTTCTTTGAAGTCTTTCTGTTACCAGTGATCTTAGATATAATCAACTCCCATAACAAGTGTCCATCTGTAGCACTATATAGGGCTAGGATGCTGCTCCTGGAAACTCTGATGAAAGTTTGGAAGATCATTTCTCTCCTTCCCCATCTCCTCCAATGGACCCTACCTAAATAGCTGCGTCCCCGCTAGCCTTGTTTCAATCACTGATTGCCACAAGCTTAAGAAGATTCCACATCCAGCAGCTCCTTTGACATTATAGGGCTCATATATAGGCCTTCCAGAACCCTCTTGCCTGACATTGTCACACCTGGTATGCTGACTCCATGGTGACTTCATAACTTCATGCTGACTTTGTATGTAAACAATGTTTCCATTATGTTGGTTTACAATACTTAATTTACATGCAATCCGAGGCAGACAGGTGAATTTACATCCTTTGGATGGCAGAAGCCTATTTGTCAACTCTGCCTTAATGCAGTCACTTAGAAACATTTTATATTTTTTTTTTACACACACACCTGCGTTTCTTACACAAATATTATATGATAGAAATGTAGCCGTGTTAGTCTGGTGTAGCTGAAACAAAATACGGGACTACAGGCAGTCCCCGGGTTACGTACAAGATAGGGACTGTAGGTTTGTTCTTAAGTTGAATCTGTATGTAAGTCGGAACTGGCGTCCAGATTCAGACACTGCTGAAACTGACCGCCAGTTCTGACTTACATACAGAATCAACTTAAGAACCCCAGGCGTCCCCAAGTCAGCTGCTGCTGAAACTGATCAGCAGCTGATTCCAGGAAGCCCGGGGCAGAGCAACTCTGCCTGGGGCTTCCTGTAGTCAGCGCTGGTCAGTTTCAGCAGAAGCTGACTTGGGGACACCTGGGGCAGAGCAGCTGGG